ACATATAATTTACAAACATTTTTATATAAGTTAATCGCAATGCATTTCCTAGTAAATTTATCAGGTACTTTTACTTGTCAATTTACCGCGTATTCATTTGTTCTGTCAGTAACGCTTTCATTAGTGCCTGCCCAGAAAACATATAATTTACAAACATTTTTATATAAGTTAATCGCAATGCATTTCCCTAGTAAATTTATCAGGTACTTTTACTTGTCAATTTACGGCGTATTCATTTGTTCTGTCAGTAACGCTTTCATTAGTGCCTGCCCAGAAAACATATAATTTACAAACATTTTTATATAAGTTAATCGCAATGCATTTCCCTAGTAAATTTATCAGGTACTTTTACTTGTCAATTTACCGCGTATTCATTTGTTCTGTCAGTAACGCTTTCATTAGTGCCTGCCCAGAAAACATATAATTTACAAACATTTCTATATAAGTTAATTGCAATGCATTTCCCTAGTAAATTTATCAGGTACTTTTACTTGTCAATTTACCGCGTATTCATTTGTTCTGTCAGTAACGCTTTCATTAGTGCCTGCCCAGAAAACATAATTTCCAAACATTTTTATATAAGTTAATCGCAATGCATTTCCCTAGTAAATTTATCAGGTACTTTTACTTGTCAATTTACGGCGTATTCATTTGTTCTGTCAGTAACGCTTTCATTAGTGCCTGCCCAGAAAACATATAATTTACAAACATTTTTATATAAGTTAATCGCAATGCATTTCCCTAGTAAATTTATCAGGTACTTTTACTTGTCAATTTACCGCGTATTCATTTGTTCTGTCAGTAACGCTTTCATTAGTGCCTGCCCAGAAAACATATAATTTACAAACATTTCTATATAAGTTAATTGCAATGCATTTCCCTACTAAATTTATCAGGTACTTTTACTTGTCAATTTTCCGCGTATTCATTTGTTCTGTCAGTAACGCTTTCATTAGTGCCTGCCCAGAAAACATATAATTTACAAACATTTCTATATAAGTTAATTGCAATGCATTTCCTAGTAAATTTATCAGGTACTTTTACTTGTCAATTTACTGCGTATTCATTTGTTCTGTCAGTAACGCTTTCATTAGTGCCTGCCCAGAAAACATATAATTTACAAACATTTCTATATAAGTTAATTGCAATGCATTTCCTAGTAAATTTATCAGGTACTTTTACTTGTCAATTTACCGCGTATTCATTTGTTCTGTCAGTAACGCTTTCATTAGTGCCTGCCCAGAAAACATATAATTTACAAACATTTCTATATAAGTTAATTGCAATGCATTTCCTAGTAAATTTATCAGGTACTTTTACTTGTCAATTTACCGCGTATTCATTTGTTCTGTCAGTAACGCTTTCATTAGTGCCTGCCCAGAAAACATATAATTTACAAACATTTCTATATAAGTTAATTGCAATGCATTTCTCTAGTAAATTTATCAGGTACTTTTTACTTGTCAATTTACTGCGTATTCATTTGTTCTGTCAGTAACGCTTTCATTAGTGCCTGCCCAGAAAACATATAATTTACAAACATTTCTATATAAGTTAATTGCAATGCATTTCTCTAGTAAATTTATCAGGTACTTTTACTTGTCAATTTACCGCGTATTCATTTGTTCTGTCAGTAACGCTTTCATTAGTGCCTGCCCAGAAAACATATAATTTACAAACATTTCTATATAAGTTAATTGCAATGCATTTCCCTACTAAATTTATCAGGTACTTTTACTTGTCAATTTACCGCGTATTCATTTGTTCTGTCAGTAACGCTTTCATTAGTGCCTGCCCAGAAAAACATATAATTTACAAACATTTCTATATAATTTAATTGCAATGCATTTCCTTTAGTAAATTTATCAGGTACTTTTTACTTGTCAATTTACCGCGTATTCATTTGTTCTGTCAGTAACGCTTTCATTAGTGCCTGCCCAGAAAACATATAATTTACAAACATTTTTATATAAGTTAATCGCAATGCATTTCCCTAGTAAATTTATCAGGTACTTTTACTTGTCAATTTACCGCGTATTCATTTGTTCTGTCAGTAACGCTTTCATTAGTGCCTGCCCAGAAAACATATAATTTACAAACATTTTTATATAAGTTAATCGCAATGCATTTCCCTAGTAAATTTATCAGGTACTTTTACTTGTCAATTTACGGCGTATTCATTTGTTCTGTCAGTAACGCTTTCATTAGTGCCTGCCCAGAAAACATATAATTTACAAACATTTTTATATAAGTTAATCGCAATGCATTTCCTAGTAAATTTATCAGGTACTTTTACTTGTCAATTTACCGCGTATTCATTTGTTCTGTCAGTAACGCTTTCATTAGTGCCTGCCCAGAAAAACATATAATTTACAAACATTTTTATATAAGTTAATTGCAATGCATTTCCTAGTAAATTTATCAGGTACTTTTACTTGTCAATTTACCGCGTATTCATTTGTTCTGTCAGTAACGCTTTCATTAGTGCCTGCCCAGAAAAACATAATTTCCAAACATTTTTATATAAGTTAATCGCAATGCATTTCCTTAGTAAATTTATCAGGTACTTTTACTGGTCAATTTACGGCGTATTCATTTGTTCTGTCAGTAACGCTTTCATTAGTGCCTGCCCAGAAAACATATAATTTACAAAACATTTTTATATAAGTTAATCGCAATGCATTTCCTAGTAAATTTATCAGGTACTTTTACTTGTCAATTTACCGCGTATTCATTTGTTCTGTCAGTAACGCTTTCATTAGTGCCTGCCCAGAAAACATATAATTTACAAACATTTTTATATAAGTTAATTGCAATGCATTTCCCTACTAAATTTATCAGGTACTTTTTACTTGTCAATTTTCCGCGTATTCATTTGTTCTGTCAGTAACGCTTTCATTAGTGCCTGCCCAGAAAACATATAATTTACAAACATTTTTATATAAGTTAATCGCAATGCATTTCCCTAGTAAATTTATCAGGTACTTTTACTTGTCAATTTACCGCTTATTCATTTGTTCTGTCAGTAACGCTTTCATTAGTGCCTGCCCAGAAAAACATATAATTTACAAACATTTCTATATAAGTTAATTGCAATGCATTTCCCTAGTAAATTTATCAGGTACTTTTACTTGTCAATTTACCGCGTATTCATTTGTTCTGTCAGTAACGCTTTCATTAGTGCCTGCCCAGAAAAACATAATTTCCAAACATTTTTATATAAGTTAATCGCAATGCATTTCCTTAGTAAATTTATCAGGTACTTTTACTTGTCAATTTACCGCGTATTCATTTGTTCTGTCAGTAACGCTTTCATTAGTACCTGCCCAGAAAACATATAATTTACAAACATTTTTATATAAGTTAATCGCAATGCATTTCCTTAGTAAATTTATCAGGTACTTTTACTTGTCAATTTACCGCGTATTCATTTGTTCTGTCAGTAACGCTTTCATTAGTGCCTGCCCAGAAAACATATAATTTACAAACATTTCTATATAAGTTAATTGCAATGCATTTCCCTAGTAAATTTATCAGGTACTTTTACTTGTCAATTTACCGCGTATTCATTTGTTCTGTCAGTAACGCTTTCATTAGTGCCTGCCCAGAAAACATATAATTTACAAACATTTCTATATAAGGTAATTGCAATGCATTTCCCTAGTAAATTTATCAGGTATATAGTTACATTAGAAGTAAAATAACACTGCTTTGATAATAAAATTTGCATTAATTCCTGCATATTGCGAAACTTTTTTTTTAGTTTCACTACAGCTTTTTTTTTTTTTTTAAACATTTCACCCCAAGCAAGGCGGGAGTCCCAACTAGCACGTAAGGGGTTACAGACAGTGAGAGCAAGAGTAAAGAGGGGTATTTAAAGGAAATGATATAGAAAAGAACAGGGAACAAGATCAAGCCATCAGAAGATATCGACTGACATTACATTTGAATAATTAAAGATTATAGCTATGAGGGAAGCAAGTGATAGGAATGGAGTTCCAGAGACGGGAACTGCGAGGTAAGAAGCTGTTGGAGTAGAAGAGACGGTTATATGTAACTGTTTCGGCAGTGAAATGCCAATCTAGTAGCAAGATTAAACTCGTGCAGTTTGGGAAGCAGCGAAAGTATCTTCTCGGAGCAGTTGTTGTGTGGCAAACAAAATTTCTACTAAAATGTCAGTGATTAATCATCCAGACATTTTACTCAGCGCCAGTGATATTTGCTTCTTTATTGAAAAAGTCAAAAGATCTAAGCGATGAGTGTTTGAGGAGCGGTAAATGCAGAAGATAGTAAAAGTTAAAAAAACAAAACAAAAACAAATCTAACTTATACAGACATCAAATATATTCGGTTCTAGAATACAACAGATTTATTTTTCTTCAGCAGATACAATGAATTCTCTCTCTTTCTCGCTCTCCACACGGGCATACATACATACATATATATACATACATACATACATACATACATATATATATATATATATATATATATATATATATATATATATATATATATATATATATATATCCGCAGTTTTATAAATATGACGTTAACAGAAACACGGAAGAAAACCTGGAATCATACGTGCATTAGATTCTGAGAAATGGACAAAATATTAAAAATTATGGGTGTACAAATAATTTTGTCGTTGATTTGTGTTTGTATATATATATATATATATATATATATATATATATATATATATATATATATATATATATATATATATATATATATATATTATATATTTATATTTATATATTAATTTATATATATATATATGTATATATATATATAAATATATATATATATATATATATATATATACATACATATATATACATATATATATATAAATATATATATATTTATATATATATATATATATATATATCGTTATCTATCTAAATATGTTCATATTGATTTATTCTCATATCCGAGAGGATACTGAAAATATTATTTCAATGATTAACAATCAGATAAGTGACTTTATGTAGATGGTGGTGCCGTGGCTTATTCTGAGTAAAATTGTATCTGCCCGTTTTTTTTCTTTCTATCTATCTAAATTTGTCCATATTTTCCTTCTTTCTCTCTCTCTCTCTCTCTCTCTTTCTCTGTGTGTGTGTGTGTGCTTTCTTGAAGATTCATATCTAAAAGAGGTTTCTTTAAAATGTATTTTAATGACTAAACATCGGAATATTGATTTGGATGTGATGTCAGCGTTAAAAATATTAAAATACATCTATCTATCTATCTATCTATCTATCTATCTATCTAAGCTTCTCGATTATCTATCTGTCTCTGTGGATTACGGTTGATTCTGTTAATATCTCGCTATCTATTCGATTTTTTATATATGTATCTATGTATTTTATTTTGTTCATATCAGTTTGTCTATTTCATTCTGTTCATATCTATCTATCTATCTATCTATCTATCTATCTATCTATCTATCTATCTTTTTTTACTTTCTATCTAACTTTCTTAATTTCTTTCTATCTATCTATCTATCTTTCTTTCTATCTATCTATCTATCTATCTATCTATCTAACTTTATTTCTTTCTTACTTTCTTTCTTTCTATCTATCTTTCTTTTTTACTTTCTTTCTATCTATCTATCTTTCTTTCTTTCTTACTTTCTTTCTATCTATCTATCTTTCTTTTTTACTTTCTATCTATCTATCTATCTATATATCTATCTATCTGTCTTTTTTTCTTTCTTTCTATCTTTCTTTTTTACTTTCTTTCTATCTATCTATCTTTCTTTCTTTCTTACTTTCTTTCTATCTATCTATCTTTCTTTTTTACTTTCTATCTATCTATCTATCTTTCGTTTTTAATTTCTATCTATCTATCTATCTTTTTTACTTTCTATCTATCTATCTATCTATCTATCTATCTATCTATCTATCTATCTATCTATCTATCACGCTATGTTCATATTTACATTTCCACTTATTATTATTATTATCTCTTCCGGGGCACAAATAATGAAATCATTGTGACATTTCCAGTCCAGCATCTGTGCCTTTTAAACATTTGCCTTGTGTGTACAGCTGTGAAAAATTTTGAATGATGACGTTTTCCTGAAACTAATAAATTACTTTCTCTTTCTCGAAGGAATGCCTTTCATATTCAACAATCTTTTGAATTCTGGAGAAAGTATTTTATATTTTTTTTGTCGGTGACGATCGGCGTTTTGGAAGAATACGAGACAATAAACTCCTCGATGACTGATCACATTTCATTTTTCACGGGTTATTTTGTCATTTTTACTACTCAGTTTTGTTCTTTCGTCGACTTTACAATTCTTTCACTTATTTATTTCTCCCGTATGTATTTGTCTCTATTCCTAACCTGCTTGCTTTACTTATATTTATAAACCACAGGTGAATAAACATTATTTCCATATAAGTGTCATGTCACTTCAGGACATAAGCGGTTACGCCTCTCCACAGCTTTCCACTCTGTCATCTATGCACAGTTATAAGTGTGCTTAGCAAAGATAAGCGGAATGGTTTTTGATTATTTTCTCCATAGTTCAGAATTTAGAATTTTCTTTCAATAAGACTGTTAACCAACGAAGATTAAAATATCGATTTCTATGTTATATCTTTATATAAAGATATAACATAGAAATCGATATTTTATTTAATAAACTGTAAATAATATTTCTTATAATATATTATATATATTATATAATAATATTTAATATAATTTATTATAGAAATATATTTTAGTTAATATAAAGATTAATATGTACATAATAAAAATACATATATATATATATATATATATATATATATATATATATATATATATATATATATATATATAATGTAGATATATAAAGGCAATAATTCATATCGTTCAACCTTACCGATACTGGTAAGGTTGAAAGATATGGGTTATTGCCTTTCTCAAAGTGTATTAGAGTGAAGTGAATACTAAATGTCTAAAATGAACTCAGTTCGTCGATTTCAGCTAGAGTAGGACTCGTAAGAAATGAAAGAAGGTTATTTCCACAAGAACATCGGCGAAAAGAAGCTCGACAGGTTACCGCTCTTCAGTATCTGTAAACTTTGCATTACCAGGGCAGTTCTTGGTAAAGATAGAGGAGTGGTTTCTCGTTATCTTCTCCACGGTTATGAATTCAGAGTTTTCTTTGACTCGGACTTTTAACCAATGAAGATTAAAATATCGGGTAAATTTTGGTTTTATTTCCCGAGCGGTAAAAATCCCCTAAAACATCCAAAATTGTCATAAGTCCGTGCAAATGTACTTGCTGAACTCGAATTAACAACATTATTTACATTATTCGGACTATTGTCCTCATATTTGTCGCCATATCTATCATAACGTTTCGGCCGTTGTACGCTCCGGTCTTCTTCAGGTGGTTGAAATTTCGAACTGAACCCTTTATTTCGATCACTGGGGTAGACTGTTCTAGTTCCACGTGCCATGTTTGATGGATGTCAGTTATCAGTTATCTCCTGTTAATTTCCCTCTGAAAGTTCTCCACTGCCTTAACCGGGTATTGAACTCACCCTCTTTGGGTCTTCTCACTGGATCTAACCAACGCCTTTATCCACTGTGCCATGTGTCCTCAAGGACATCTCAGAAATATAGACAGACTTCGAATTAACAATTATATTTATGAAGAAACCTACCGTTTTGGAGTTATCGACAAGAAAAAATCGGACTTCTTGTTGGTCATTCTTCCCCCATAACTACCATCATGAATAGTGATTCAGTGCGGGATACCTGCGCTGGCCTATAAAAATGCTTTATTTTTATTATTTAATTTATTTTTTAATTTGTCATTGCTATTCAAAACGGAAAAAAAGTTCTATTGTATTATTTAATTTGTTTTTGTTATATATAAAACTGCACAAAAAATTTACATTTTTTTATGGTAGTGCGTAGTGATTTTCTGCAAGGAAAGTCTGTAAAAGAAGTACATAGTCCAAAGGCGAGCGCAAGTATTCCGCACTGAATCACTATTCATGATGGTAGTAATGGGGGAAGAATGACCAAGAAGAAGTCCGATTTTTTCTTGTCGATAACTCCAAAACGGTGAGGTTTCTTCATTATTTAATTGTTAATTCGAGTTCAGCATGTACATTTGCACCGAATTATGAGGATTTTGGAAAATTTTTAAGGAATATTTAGCGATTTAGCGCTCGGGAAAGAAAACCGAAATTTACCAAATATCGTTTTGTATGTTATTTAATCAATACTGGTTGGTTGAAAGATATGGGTTATTGCCTTTCTCGAGTGTAATTGTGTGAAGTGAATACAAAATCTCTAAATTGAAATCATCTCGACGATTTCGACTAGACCAGGACTCGTTACAAAGAATAAGATTATTTCCGCAAGAACATCTGCGAAGAAGGGTCTCCACAGCTTCCCGTTCTTCAGTATCTGTAAATTTTGCATTGCAATGTTGTTCCTGGTAAAGACAAAGGAGTGGTTTCCAGTTGTTTTCTCAATAGTTTTGAATTAAGTGTTACTTCTTTCAAAATAACTGGTGGAGAAAAGACATGACTTTCCCAATAGCAATAGATTAAATATAAAATATCTCATGTAAAATTTTAACTGGTCTCCAATTATAACTAACTTAGGACACGTAAAAATACAAACTCGGCGTATAATCAGAGCATTTCCTCAATCTACCTAGGATCAAAGTGAAGCTCTCTAAGTGTCTGTCAATTATCGATGCAGTGTCTGCCAAATTGACAATTTGAAAATTAATTTTAGTGTTGTTCATACAGCAGAACGTCGGTATTGCTGTTATTTCATTGACCTGCTTAATGCAAAGTCGGATATTCAAATGAAATCAGGATTGATTTGTTTATATTTCATATCTGTTTTATTCAACATAATTGATAGTAGGAACAGAAAGATAATGAGGACCGTAAAAAAAGTACACTATTCATTATTATATTTTATACAACAGTTACATCGTTCGAACTGTTGTCCTCATCTTTACTACCATATTGATGGTATTTCGGCTGTTATGCGCTCTGACCTTCTTCAGGTTTCCGTTGGAATTTCGAAACGTACCTTTTATTTAGTCCGCAGGGGTAAATTGTTCTAATTTCTTTGGGGGTATCTCAGTTTCAGTTAATTCCCTTTAGTAATTCTCTAAGTTTATGTTCCATCTGCTGTGGCCAGGTATTGAAATCGCAACTCTTTGGGTCAAAACAAATTTTGGAATCAACGCTTTTATCATTGGGGACATCAGTGAATGAATTTTAAAGACCTATAAGAATAATGTTTCAATAATCAACTTTTTACCAGGTCCCATATTACAGTTTGATTTTTTTTCTCTCTCTCTCTAGCTCTCAGTATTACTGGCTCTCATTTTGTATTCATGTCTACGCATGTCCGGTTTAAGAGATTTTTGTGGCCAATCATATGCGCTGATTTCTTAAGTTTTTGTGGGGATGAGATAAAAACACGAAATAAAATAAAAACACGAAATTAAATAAAAATACAAAATTAAATAAAAGTACAAAATAAAATAAACATTAAAATCTCCCAGGAGTCCTCTGACAGGAAATACAATTTACGCATGTGCAAATAAAGAGAGATTTCCTGGCGCCAAAAATAAACTAGAAGAATCTATCTCTTTCTCTGTTGGACCTTTGACTGGTGAACACGTGCCAACTGTTCGGGAAGGTAAATTCCCCAACAAGAGGTCGTTGGAATCCAAAAGAAGGAATTAAAATCAGTGTCCTAAACTGTCCCTCTAGTGTCTCCGTATCCTTCGTCTTTTCTTTGTCTATCTATTTCAGCGACGAAGGCAATTCAAAAAGTTTTTGGATGTTGAAAAGAGGTGAAAGAATCAACCCAGCATTAATAACCATGGCATCCATATTTTCCTATTTTTATAATGAAGTTCTCTGCCTAGTGTTACAACTTCATCCAACGGAGGGTTGTGATCTCTCGTTTCCCTCCATATATGCTCAGCCATGCATGATTTTTTTTTCATTTCACATCCTGTTCCTGCAGTCTTATCTTAAGGGGTCGGCCTAATTCACCTTTATATTTCTTGTCAAATCTACACGGGATGACGGGTATACAGTCATTAATCATGTTCTTCTCTATAGGTGGTCTTATCCGGAAGAGATATCTGCGTAGTGTTGAACCAAACCTGAAGTTTGCCCTGATGTCATATATACAACAGATCACCGGTACCTTTTCTGATAAGCCCTTTATTACTTTTTATGCACATTATCATTTCCGGTTTTATGTTTATTATTTATTTGTTTACTTATTTCTTTCTTGTTTAGAATTTAATTATTTTCCTTTAATATTTCTATCTTTTCTTTCTAACCTTTCATTGTTTTTTTTTTTTTTACTGCTATTTTCTTTAATTCTACGTTATTTTTGTGCCTTAAATGATTTATTTTTTCCTTTCGCGACTTCCTTATTTTGCTTCTATGTATCTTTAATTTGCTTTTCTCCACGTTATTTCCTTTCTCCATCTTCGTTTTTTTTTCTAGTTTGTTTTCTTTTATTCTATATCCATTTACCTGCCTTAAATTTATTCTTTTATTACCGTCTATGCTCGAGTCTATTGCGAGTTTTTATGATTAGTTTTTTTTTTTTTTTACGCAAAAAATAGGGGTCACACGATAGATAGTAAATGTTTTTAAAAAAGGTTAAAAATCATACATTTTCGGTGACCGGTTGCATTATACACAGGTAATATTTTTTTTCTGGATGGTTTAAAATTCACCCCCCTCACAAAAAAAAAAAAAAAATCTGGCATCGTATTATACATGAGCTCGACTTATACACGAGTGTATACAATAATTTCTTCTTGTTTTTCATTTTATTTCGTTTTTCTTTTCAGCCATAATTGCTTTCTTTCTGTTGGTTTGATTTTGATTATTAACCCTCTCTTTCTTTTTTTCTTTCTTTCTTTTTTTCTTTCTTTTTTTCTTTCTTTCTGTCTTTCTTTCTTTCTTCAGTTATTGTTTCACCGTATTCCTCAGTTCTGTTTCGTGTATTCTTTCATTCTTTTATTTCCTTCCTTCCTTCATTTCTTCCTTCATTTCCAGCTTTCTTCTTGTTGGTTTCTTTCATCTTTCTTGTGTCCTTTATTATGTCTGATATTTTGCTTAAAATATCAGTTCACTTTTGCTCTTCAAGCAAAATGTTACATAGGCAGATGCACATACGGTATAAATATTGGTTTATGTGTAGAACTCTGTCTGCATACAAACGCAAATACCCGTATACATACATATGATTAGGACATACACAGTAGATTAATTATATCTGACAATACATAAGCATGTACGTGTCTCAAAAAACACACTGAAGTTATACATACAAAAACGTCGGCACGAATGTACATCATTTTCTATATATATATATATATATATATATATATATATATATATGAATGTGTGTGGGCTTATCGTTTATCTCACTTCTTTCTGTCTCCATTCTTTCCGAGCAAAAGCGTCCCCGCTCATCCTCCTTTATAGAATTGCCTTTCGAGACATATTTCTTTGCTGCGATTGGTTGAGGTGTAATCTATATCTGCATCATATCAATTCTTCTTTTCCTGTTTATGATTTTTTTTGTTATTTTGATTACAGCTATATATATATATATATATATTTTTAATGTATTTTTTTCATGCCTTGAAGCTTGATGGCGTCTTGCGACTAAATTTCAATATAATATTTTCAATAAGTCTTGAGGTTATTTGAAAAGCGACAAGTGACGAAATCGCATTGACGGGGTTGCTTCATATATTTTGGCGAAATGTTAAATGACAAAGCAGATTCTGACAGACTACATATGGATATTTTATTGATAACATATATTGATCGGTTATACGTATGCATATCATATATATATATATATATATATATGGCAAAATTTTATTTCGGTAAAAAAAAGGACCGCCCAGGTTATTTCTGGAAGATAACGTTTTGTTCGGCATGCAGTCTTCGCAAATATTGTGCTCAATATCAACAGATACAAAACAACAACAACAATAATAATAACAATAAGAAGGACAATAATAATAATAATAATAATAAATACAAAGAAATATTCACTTATCTTGTCTCCACTATGAATATCACGTATAAGATGAATTGATTGTTAAATAAGTTAATATTTTACTTTTATTATCTCTCTCTCTCTTCACACATACCCCCCCATATATATATATATATATATATAAATCAGGAGATCAGTTGAATCCGCTACCTTGGTTTTAACCTTACGGTAACCTCAGGCGATATTTATCAATCAAATGACCTCTTAATTTCTTTATATATATATATATATATATATATATATATATATATATATAGGAATTAAAACAAAATTTAAACTTAATTTTCCAATGTCTTTTGGACATTGATGGATTTTTGCCAGGGTAAATTTACTTTGGCAGAATCCATCAGAGAACGAAAATCATTGGCAAAGAATAGTCTTACTATACTTACTGAAAAAAAGCAATATCCAAAGAAGTAATTGAAGTTTTTTTTTTCATTAATCCGACAGATTTTATCACTTAAAATTATTTTTAATGAATAAGATATTAATTAATATTCTAATGAAATAATCTGGAATCTATACTAACAGACATAACAAAATTCAACCACTTTTACTATTCACCGTCACTGACTGTCAAACTTGAATGCAGAAAAAATTCTGAAAAAATAAAGAAAAATTCACTAATACGGCAAGCTTTTTCGCTCCTCGCTCCTGCCATTGACGTTAGTCGAATCTCCAACGTGAGCGATCGCTGGCGACGTCATCTCAAGCTAACGATGTACATGTTCATCGTCCTCATGTTAATTTTGCAGACGTCCATGAAGCGAATTTGATGTCAACCTCGTGCCCGCATGCTAGCGACCAGTCCCCCGTATCTTCGGAAACATCCCATCAGTAGACGTGCCTTTCGTGTTTTGTCGTTGCGGTGTGGCGACGCTGGTGTGTCCACTCCAGAGCACAGGTCTCGGCAGGTTTTTATGGAAGATCGCAGTTGGCCATGCAGCCCGTCTCACCTCACCGCGCCACTGATGTTCCCCAAGGGAAAGGAAGAGTCCAATACAGCTTAGCACCGGCATCCTCGCATAAGTTGCCAGAATGAAGTTAGGCATACTATAGGATTGTTTTAGGGACTCAGTGGCGTATCTAGGGGGAAGAAAGGGGCGGTCAGCCCTGGGCAGCACTTTTGGTCCGCGGTGAGTTTTCAGGAAAAGAAAAAAAAAAAAACAATAGCATAATTTCAATAATTTTTGCAAAAATCAGCGATAAGAAGACAGGGTTCAAATGAAGCCAATTTGTCTTTGATATGACTGACTCAAAGAGGGTAGAAAAACAAAAAAAAGTTATCTTTCTTTTAATGTCGTAGAAAGTTTTTAAAGTTTTCTCGATTTAGAAAAAAGAAGTAACGTAACGTCTTGTTTTTTTTGTTTTTTTATTTCCCCAGTTTTATAAATATGACGTTATCAAAAACACGGAAGAAAACCTGGCATGATACCTGCATTAGATTCTGAGAAATGGATAAAATATTAAAATTTATGGTTGTACAAATAATTTTGTCGTTGATTGTGTGTGTATATATATATATATATATATATATATATATATATATATATATATATATATATATATATATATATATATATATGATCTTTAAGTGGCTAATGTGCATTGTAATATTGAAAATAGATAAGAATATTAAAAATTTATGGGTGTACAAATAATTTTGTCGTTGATTGTGTGCGTATATATATATATTTATGTATATATGAATAAAAAGAAAGAACAGTAAGATATGTAATCCGGTGTTCTTATAGATATTTTTATTTTTACAAAATAGTGCTCAATGTAAATTTACAGAGCATTAATATTATAAATTAATTGATTTAAAATATGTTTTTTTTGCTACACAGTTCTAACCATATTTCAAAGTTTTTTTGAAACATTGTTAGAACTGTGTAGCGAAAAAACATATTTTAAATCAATTAATTTATAATATATATATATATTTTATTACTTTTAGGGAGGGTCGGCAAAAACACTAGCTACGCCACTGTAGGGATTTATCCTTGGCGTTTACTCGCGAAGCTTTTCCCATGGTTGAGTTTGGCCGCAAGACATTTGAGGTTTAAAATCATTTTTTTCTGCATTTCTCAGAAACTTGGACTAAAAAATTACTACATTAAAAAAAACGCGGAAATCACAGTTCGTTTTCTTCAAAATCTCACAAAAAATTCACAAAGAAATGTTAGGCAGAGTAGACAAAAAATACCCGCAAATACAAAGTTCAACTGATTCTATCGCACTGCACCGTCCCTAACAAATATAGCTAGATGCATTTGTATGCACCAACCATCAGATCATTGACGCTTCAAAAATTAGCAGGAGCTAAAACATCAGCAAGGTCGATTAATGTAACAAGAGAATGTCCGCTAATTCGACAATCATATCAGATCTCTTTTGAAGTTCAAAGAAAATATAGTCTGTATCAATTTTATCAGCATTAAATTTTAAACTCAGAACATTTTTCCCACAGAGGGGAACATGACTAAAGACAGTGTGTACGCTATCCCGTGCAGCTGCGGAAAGGAATATAAAGGAGAGACAGGCCGCCCCCTCAAGGTAAGGCTTCAAGAACACCAGAAAGCTTTAATGCGAGGGGAAGTAGAAAAATCAGGCGTGGCTGACCACATATGGAGAGACAAGGGAGATCAACGCCCCCTGTGGGATCATGTTGAGATCATAGACAGGGAACACCATTGGAAAATTCGTAAACTTAAGGAATCAGCACATATGCTAGGCCACAAAAATCTCCTGAGCCGACCAAGCATAGAAATAAATACAATATGGGAACCAGTAATAAGGAGTTCCAGAGAAAAGCAATGATAACAAAGTTGCAATATGAACTCTGGTAAAGGCATGCAATGATAACAGCAAAATTGCAATATGAGCACTGGTAAAAATGATGCTGAAAACATTAGGTTTATAATACTCAGAAGTTCATACCCAGATGTCCTCAAGGACACATGGCACAGTGGATAAAGGCGTTGGTTAGATCCAGTGACCTGGTTAAGGCAGTGGAGAACTTTCAGAGGGAAAATTAGCAGGAGATAACTGATAACTGACATCCATCAAACATGGCACGTGGAACTAGAACAATCTACCCCAGTGATCGAAATAAAGGGTTCAGTTCAAAATTCCAACCACCTGAAGATGGCCGGAGCGCACAACGGCCGAAACGTTGAGACAAATATGGCGACAAAGATGAGGACAATAGTCCGACTAATGTAAATACTGAACATTTTTCTAGCTGTTACATGTGCGATGCCAAATGAAATCAATACCAAAAGAATTCTACCGATATATCCTTCAGATGCACTTCAATCTGACACAAAAACAGCACATTAATAATACAATATTTTAAACAACCATCTTTTCTTCGTCATGTTGATCACTCACATGTCGGCTGCACCTTTCAATTATACCCTGTTAAATTACAAAAATAAAGCAGATTCGAACATGATGAATATATTGGCAAAATAAATTTGTTCAATGTGGTGTGAAGGATTGGACCAATTGGTCTACCAAGACCCCGTTAGGTGCCGCTGTTTCTGAACTATAAAAGGTTCAAGGTATTTTTCTCTTTCATTTTTTTTCTCTTTTCATCTAGCGAGGCACATGGGCTCGACGCTACTTTTCCACACGGAGGGTGGGAACTTCCTTTTCCCGTGTGACCGACAACTGAACTTTTATATATACAACATGCGTATCCACACCAACAAACAAAAACGCACACATTTCGAAATGCCGTAACTGATGCAAATTATACATTATTTGATAATTGTTGATTCTTTCTGTATTTTGTGTCTTTCCTAACAGTGAGCGCTTTATATTATTTTGTTATTACCTATTAATAAATGTATATTGTTTGTTCATATATATATATATATATATATATATATATATATATATATATATATATATATATATGAATAAAACAAATAATAAATATATATATATATATATATATATATAACAAACAATTATCGACACATCATTGTTTCTACTTAATGGTCATTAGAATAATATCCGTCCTCGCCTACACAATAATCCTTATCATAATACAATATTCCGGATATAGTATCCGTAATATCACATTAACCAGCATATATAAATTGTCCACGTACCACCTAAAACATAACATGAAGAATGCGTTCAATCAGGAAACAGAATGTCGCCACTCACTCTTGGCATGAGTGACTACTCCTATATATATATATATATATATATATATATATATATATATATATATATATATAGTTTATGAAAAACTAGGTAATCCGTATGGGTAAACCTAAGGAGGATAAAATCCAGAGAGCTCAAATGTACATTATATATATATATATATATATATATATATATATATATATATATATATATATATATATATATATATATATATGTAGATGTACCGTACCTGTGAACGCTGAAGGTTATGTGTAAATCCTTATAAATAGG